CTTTCTAGTTATAATGTCAGGGTAATATTAATTATATTGGTAAATTGTCACATGATGTTTGAGCTCACTGAGACACTGACTCTGAAGATGGTATTAGCCCTCCCACTTCAGACTCAAGCCTATTATTTCAAAATGTGTTCTCGAAGACTTTTCCAGGTTCAGACTGACCCCCTGACCCTGTGACAAGGAGGAGAATGACAAAACAGCCTAAGAATAAAGGCACTATGCAGTTGAGAACTACTAAGGTGTAATTTCAACAGAGGGTATTACTGAGTATAATAAAACTAGCTAATGGAATTATTTTCAGTACTATTTAGATTTTATTTATTCTTAACCTAATCTGTTAATGTTTCCTTTTGTCTTTCCTGACTCCTACAAGGTTGTATTAACTTCCTTCAGTTATTCAGCTCTTAAAAAAAGATGCTATCTCAAATCTATATGGAAAATTAACTCTTTCTTTAGGCTACTAATTTCCTATACAAAATGACATCTAAGTTGGTTGGGTAAGATCCTATTTGTTAAATACCATTTTTTTAAATTTATTTTCATGGTGTTTTAAGATGTATTCATTTTGTTTGTCTGCTTCAAAGGTGTTTTGGTTTAAAAATGATAAACCAACCACATTCTCAACAAAGACTATATAACTAAATACGTATATACAGTCAACATAAATTTATTCTTCTTAAAATTAATTTACTTGGTATCATATTCATTTTTAAGAAAAATCTCATATGAACTAAAAATGTTAAATTAACACCAAAATATTTTTTTCAGGCCAAAATATTCTCTCTTTAATCTACAACATGGTTCCTGGTACTAAAATATATGACTTCATCTCTCTCCTTCTCTCCCTATTTCTCTCTCTCTCTCTCTCTCTCTCTCTCTCTCTCTCTCTCACCATCTCACCACCACCCTTCTGGGCTCTACTAAACCACCACCCTTCTGGGGCTCATCTTCCCTCAGCCTCTACTAAACCTCAGGATCAACTTGTTCCACAAACTTCCCTCCCTTCTGGCTCACTGCATTTTTTTCCGCTTTTCTCCCATCCCATTCCTTGTACTTTGTCTCCATCTACTGGCTGGTCATGTCACACTCTCATTGCAGGGTTTTCTACTCCTCGCGCTTGCCTCGAAATCACACGTGTGTCGGAAAACTCTTTCCTTTCTCTGGATATAGGACACTATTTCCAGAGATAGGAACACACACTACTTCCTGTTCAGGACAGGATCTCACCTTTCCTCTCTCTGATAATCTAATTGTGGGACACCGCCTTCTGGGATTTGGAAATAACTCAAAAATAACAACTTGAACCTGTGCAACAAAAAAGGATGCTTTGTTTTGATGCTTGGTTCTCCTTGTTCTCATTTTGCATGACTGAATGCCAAACCCCTTTTCCTCCTACTCCCTCCCCATCTTTCTCTTCCTCATCTGTTGCACTTTCCTGCCCAGACTCGTGATCCTGCCTCCACTCCCTATAGAGAGAGGATTTTCTTTGTCTCCTGCCTGCTTGGTTCTGTCTCTATGTCTTACCTGCTTGCTGGGTTCTTTCTCTATCTCCTCTTCACTCTGTACTTAATCTGCCACTATGGGAAACACCCACTCAAAGTCTCAGGGTCTCACACCTCTTGCTTGTCTTCTTAAATCCTTAAAACAACTAGGACTTTTGGATACAATCAGGCCAAAATGCCTGAAGTTCCTGTGCACCACTGCCTGGCCTCAGTACGAGTTAGATAATGACTCTGCTTGGCCAGACACCGGAAGCTTAAACTTCAATATTTTGAAAAATTTAGAAAATTTCTGCCATCGTAAATGCAAATGGTCTGAATTACCATACATCCAAGCTTCCTTTCATCTCTGTGCTAATCCCTCCCTCTGGGTCTCATGTTCTTCCCATCAGGTTCTTCTGGCTAAGACAGTTTCATGGGATCCCAACCTGCCAGGGGCTTCTGCCCCTCCTCCTTCTCCCCCCACCCCTCCACCTTAGCTTTTGATCCTATCATAGCCGATGAACTGCCTCTGATTAGGATCCATCCCCAACCTCCTGCTCCCCAGCCTGAGGCACAGCCAAGTCCTTCCCATGTTCTCCCCTTGCTATACTCTCCCTTTTCTCCCATTTCAGGGCTCAACCCAGCTCTCCTCCTTTCTCCAACTTGAACTCCCTCTCCACACCATGAGCTTCCCCCTCTTCAGTGCCGCTCTAAGTCCATCACCCACTCTCCTTCCACTGACTCTCCTCTACTTGAGGAAATCCAAAACCTTCAACACTTCCTTGCCAAATATTCCCTAGTCTCCCCTATTATGGCTTCTAGCTCAAATAACCCATTTATCCCCCCGTATCTAACTTCTACTTTGATTCTAGACCCCACCTCCAGTACCCCTGCCCCTGCATTCACTCATGGACAGGACACCACTGCCATCTCTCCCACTCCAACAGTTATAAAGTCTAAAAAGGGTTATAGCACAGTTTTCCCTAATTGATTATGCTGGAGGTTGTTAATGTCAATTCAATAATGTTTAACTATGTACCAACTGCTTTTTTCCACCTAAAGCAAGGTTTTGGTAGACCACTCTCTAAACTACATAAGGTAAAAGATTTACCTGGAAACTTATAAAACACAATATTTACACGGGTAATATTAACTTATTACATTATCTTATGTATATAATTTAGATTCCATGCTCTTTTAATAAGATGATGCTACACACTACTTTATTCTGAGTTAAACTACTACCATCTTCATGACTTCAGCTGTGTCCAAAAAATCATCACAATTGGACTTGTTGACTTAAGTAACTAATTAAAGGAGGAGGGTAAACAGGGTCAGTGGACCCTCACCTGAGTATCCAGCTGCTCTTCCCAGCCAACTGTATGTAATCTGGCCCTAATCACATGGTCTCCTGGGTTTGGGGAGGACTAAAGTATATTATCTGGAAAAGGCTAGGAAGAGAAGGCTTGCTCCATGCTGGGTTAAAGCTTTCCAATGTAAATACTCTCAGGTCACTCATATACCTCAGCAACCCCTCAGTCATCTCTGTAAGTAAGCTCAGAATAGCTGATTATCTCATTTAGCTACAGGTGGGCGTTACAGTATTATACTACAACCTGAAAAGGGGAAAAACATTGCTTAGTATCCCCAGGAAAAGAAGTCTCACAACAGATGGAAAATTTGTTTCTTAATGTTGTTGTGCCTCATGGTGATTAAAAAAAGAAAATGGAAAATTAGAGGATGTTGGAAGGGTATGAGAATGGAGACATGTTTTAGAAAGGATTTATGTATGAAAATTATGATGGTTGGATATTTCCAGAATTGACAGAGAAATGAGAGAGCTGGGCAGATAATGAAGGTCTGTGTAGGGTTGTTACAGTATAACAAGGATGAGACAAGGGTAATGTGTAGACAATCTTGAAATTTCTATGGTCATAACTTAGTCAACTAGTCTAAGTATGTCTAGTCAAGGTTTATTTAAGGATGTTACCCAAGTTCTATCTATATAACACATAGTAATTAATGTACCAGGCTGGTGTAACTAACCTTGTTGGATGTTTAATAGCCAAACTTTAAGGAAGGCCTATATTTATCTGGTGAAAGAGACTTAAAGGGACAAATTTTTGTTCCTTGCCCTCCAAGGTCAAACAAGTTCCAGGGGCTATGGCGCATCTCTCGAAATGTCCTGTAACTTTGGAGAGTAATCTGTCCTCTTGTTCAGGGAGGGCATGGAGACCCCAGAAGATAGACTTGTACCAGTGTCCAGTCTACAAAGAGGAGGGTCAACACAGAGGGAACATTTCCTCCATGTTTCCAAGCGAAGCCCCAGTCAAGCAGGAGCTTTTGACTTATCTTCACGTAGATGGAACTGGTAAAAGAAAAGCCTGAGGAGCCAGGGGCTCCCCCCAAGCCCATGTGACTCCTGAGGACCAAATCCTCACATGACCTTAAGAGTAAAAATAAATTAGTTTATTTGGGCCAACAGTATGGTCTTAAACACCCAAAAGGAAAGTATAACCAAAATAAAAGTCATCAGTGTATTTTAAAGGTTCAAGGGATTACACAACCCAGACAGACATAAGTTATTATGTTATTTAGACAATTATCTCTCATTGATAATACCAAGAATAATATGATAATGATAATAATAATAATAATAATAATAATAATAATAATAAACTCTGCTTTCTCCTGATCAACCCTATTTGTCATACGGCTGCTTTTTACCTATCAGTTACCTGGTGACATTCTGAGGTTTCGTTTTTTTTAAAAGCTAAGTTAATACATTCCTAAGGTTTTACTTGATAAGCCGAAAGGTGAATTTTTATTTAGAGGACTAAAGGCAGAGCAAGACAATTCGGGCCTTGAGCTATAACATTCCCACTCTCCAGAAGCAGGAATTTCTAACCGGCCTGGAGAATCTTCCAAACAGTCCAGACTTTTTCAAGAAACTGCTGGTCAAACTCCCAGAGGCTGTCAAGATTCAGAGCATGTTGCCCTTAGGGCTTTTTTTTTTTTCTCACAGGCTCTGTTTCCCCAGATGTGGAGAGTTTTCCAGGAGGGAACCGGTTTCACCAGGACATAGGCCTTTGGTAGAGGCAGTTGGAGGCCAGGTCAAGGTGTTTTGGCTTGGTGTTTGGGGCAGAGGGAATCTGGCAGGCTCTACCAGGTGGCAAAGGACTTCTGAACCAGACTACGGAGACAAGGACTGAAGGAAAGAGGCTCCACCTCTGCTTCTTCCCCTAGGCCTGGACTTCTTGTGTTTGGACTGGCTAATGTTTAACAGCAAATAATGCCTGCAGTTAGGGGTGGTCACACCTCTGTGGCATAGCCACTGACAGGACAGGCCATTTCATGAAGAACTTCCTGTTACCAGTCCAGTCCTGTCAGAATTAGTTCCTGTGTTTCTGTGGAGAGCTGTGGACAGCTGACAGGGGCCAGGAGCTTTACCTGCCTGAGGTGAGGGAGCCGGCCAGTGTGCCTCTCCTGGGATGGGCGCTTTGGGGTGGGCTTTTCTTTAGGGCTTTGCCAGGCTCTGGTGGCCCTTGGTGGCGTCCCCCATGACAGCCTTAGCCGATCACAAGCAGAATGTTTGTCTTGCAGTTTCCAGAGTTGAAACTGAAACAAGGCCACTCTCTGGGCTCACACATACCAGTCATTCCTCCAGCCTCCCACGTAGAGCTGCGCTGGGCCACCCCGGGTGGGGGGGCGGAGAGAGAGAGAGAGGGGGGGGGA